GAACGTAACGGTACGACGTACCTACGAAGTAAAAATAAACTTAAGTAGTTAGTAACGTAGACGTCACGAAGAGAGTAGACGTTACTACTTAGTAGTAGCGAGAGAGAGAGAGAGAAGAGAGAGAGTACAGTTAGTTAAAGTTAATTTTAGTTCGTCGTTCCTAACTACGCACTCTCTCTCTCTCTCTCTCTCTCTCTCTCTCTCTCTCTCTCTCTCTGTTTTTAGTGATTCCTTTTGTGAAGCACATTCTCTCTCTCTGTTTTTAGTGATTCCTTTTGTGACACACATAGAATGCTAGGATTAATTGTGTTGGATGTCTCATAAAACATGCAAAAAGAATCTGCAATGAAAGATGAAAAGATCCATCCAAGGCAGTCTCTATGAGAAAGGAACATGGGTCAAGGTGACTGTGTTTCACAACTATTGAAGTTTAGACTTCTATCACCTCTCTCAAATGATTTTCAAAGCCATTCATGACTTTCTATGGTATAAGATCCTCATCTAAGGTTTAACACCCTAAAACATAAAAAGTGACAGTCAAATACTTTACAGTGAAATAAACAAGGTCTAACGAGGTATGCATCAATGCTTGTTCATCTTAAACATCTAACCTATTCATGACATAAATTTTTGCATTTAGTTCGTCTTTGAGAAAAAAGAAAAAGGATGTTTCCAAAACACATGGTCATGGTACTCATCCATAACCGCTGCCACAATGCAGTTATTATATACATTTTCATGTACACTGCATTATACTTAACAATACACTTTAGATGTAATTAATAAACACTACATCATCAGATACAGAAATATATATAACTAAAATACACATAACATGTAGCACAAACTTTAATAACAATGTCAACACAACACTTCTTGGTTCCGCCATATAACCAGCCTCTTGTGTCCCTTGCAACACTAAAAAATGGTTTACTCTTCAAACAAAAAATTCCAGATTATCCTCGACACAAGCAGGACCAACTTTCCAACAATGAACATTTGGAACATACATCCTTTCCATTTTTGGGCAGCATTATGTGATCAAGGATAGTTATCCAATTCCTGGACAGTTGTCCAACAATTGGACAACTATCCTTGATTATAGCATGTTCAAAAGATATTGCAATGCGTGCATCAATACCTCATGCCACGTTCTCCATATGCTCATTGCTTTTACATAGTTGTCTAGAATCCCTCAACAGAAAGTACTATTCCATGTCTCTCTTTCATGCCATCGTATTTCTTTCTTTTCTTCTTCTTTTTTCGATATAATTGGATAAATTATATTTGATAAGCAAACATTAGAGATTATACCATATTTCTAAACTGAGTTAGTATCAAAATACAATGCTACCTCTACATTTCCCCGTATCGAAGGCGACTTCCCTAGGTAAATCTTTATTTTGCCCTTAACATCATTTAGTACCCAAAAATATCCAACATTTTCTTAGTAAACTTCAGATATTCCCCTCCAAAGAACGGCGCTCCTCTGTGCATAAGGTCACTAAACTCAGAAATAGGCTCGGTTTGGCGAGTCATTCTTATGGCATAAAAATCTAATACAGCTAAGGTTTCTGTAGTTCAAAGGGGAGACATTGCCGAGTGTTTGCCAACAGCAAAAGCAATGGAGTGACCCTTCAAAATGCACACTCCATTACACTGTAATACAATAGAAATGGAAAGAATGCTTGGCCTCTTTCTACATACCCGTATATTCCACAGTAGATTGCAATGCCCATCGCTTTAGGTCTCCTAACACAGGGCGCCAGCAAATGACTCCCTAAACTTTTCAACCCTATCAAAAGTATGAGAAAGAAAGATTATGCTTCCTAGAGGTGGTGTTGACCATCACAAGATAATATAATAGAACTAAAAAGTACGTGAAATGGCGCCCATACTTTATACATGAGTACAACACCAAGAATCAAGACATTCCAAAGTATAGTTGCTGGAACCTTGAAGGAAAGGTCACGGATCCGTTCCGGAACCTTGATCCCGCAATTCCAGATAGGGATCTTGGATGGAACACGGATCCCTATATTGTGATCCTAGTTCCCAGGAGGTTTGAACCGCGGTTCTCAAGTGCATAGCGCAATGCATATGATGTTTTCTCTATTCGGCACTGATTCAGGTTTCTGCCCAATGATACTGTGAACCCATGCATCATTATCGATCCCTTAAAACATCTTATTGGGATTCCTTCCTCATGGAATCGTGACAAGGATCGTGCTCCCTTGATATAGGATCGTATGGACGACGATCCCAACCATAAGGTGCTTCCAACAATCCACGGTTCTGCAGACCCCGGCCAGCTCCCGCTCCCAAGAACGCACCCGCACCAGACAACTATGTTCCAGACCATGAATGAAAGAGAACGGAAACATGATCTTTCCAAGCAGAAAGAAGTTATTTTTCCTACATGCATATTCAATGAATACAAACTCATATTCAAGGTGGAAAAACTTGCCTGAGTCAACTCAATTGCCAGGTTGATGAATTTTATAAATGAAAAAACTGAGGATATATCCAAGTATTTCATTGTATACAACTATCGATGTTTAGTTTGAGAAATAATGGTGCTTACAACCTGGTAGCACTGTGGTATGAGCTGCATGACAACCAGGTTAGACTCCCATAATATATAAATATATGCTTATAGAAATATTCATACAAGAATTTGAAAAACTCAGGTTTTCCGAGTTCACATTTAATTTAACGAGTGGATTCATTTTTTACCACTGACTTGAGTTTTTGAACAACTCCACATAATCAACCAATCTTTGTAAGCCAATATTCGAAAATATCGCTTGGCTGTTAAACTCTGACCCTAACCAATCTCCTTACTCAGGCGAGTCCGATCAACTTGCCCGAGTCTTCACTGAGCTGCCCAAAGAGCCCAAAAAGCCCAAACATAATGGGAGAAATAGAGAAAAATTAGTAAAAATAGAATTTGTTTTTTTTAATATGTTAGTAAAAATAGAAAATTTAAGCAAAACATAAACAAGTGTATACAATATGGATAATATGAAGAAGTGATAAAAATAAAATTTACCCCAAGAATAGCCAATTATATGAATTTAAATTGAAAAAAATGAGATCTACCCAAAATCTCAAGCCTCAAGCCAATCCATCAAACTTCTTGATCGGTGCAAATCAATGCCTCAAGTCCTCGTCAAAGCTTCCTCATATAACCCCGATTGAAACCCCCAAACCAAACTTGGGTTTCAAGTTTGGACCTAGTCGATCTGAGGTCCTGAAATCTTCAAATGAATAGTAAGCCTGATAACTAAAATCTCACAAGTCCAAGTTTTTTCCCTTGCTCATTGCGAAAAACAGACATGGCAAAAATAGGGTTGGGAACAAATTTCATGGAATATCAACCAATCGCTTCAATGAAATTGCAACCTTTTGAGATCGGGCAAAAACCTAAATTTGATTTTTCAATATCTCAAATCCGTCAAATTTGGTGGTTTTTTCTCCAATGTATCTAGTGGATAAATCATACAAAAACAAGTCCATCAGCAAATTTTGGGCTCTCAGGGGTGTGTTTGTGGTAAGAAAATGATTTAAAAAAATATATATCTATATACCCCTGAGTTGTAAACAAAAATTAGTCAAGTCCAAATTGGTATCTAATTAGGTAAGTTAAATGAATCCTGGTTAAATTTAAGGGCAG